TTCTTCAATGTGCATATGGTAAGAAAGAACATTTTTATTAGATTTAAACAGAGAGTAAATGTTATTCTCTCTAGCATGCAATCTCAATATTCAATGTCGTACATTCAACTATGACTCATTTTCACGTGTCTGTTGTTTGTTCGAAGGCTCTATCACTGCGTCAGCATCAACATCACGTATCGGCTCGTTGAATTATCTTCCAATGTTCTTCAATACCTTCAATCAATCTTGTTCACAGTGTACAGAAACTCGATATTTGATATGTTCCAACAACACCTGTCAATGCCCGCTTCATTTATTTTGGAATGGAAGCCAATGTGAAAATCAACGATATGAAAATGCATCGTGTTTAAATAATGACTGATGTCGGAATGATCCTTTTGGATTAATCTGCTCTGTGTCAAACGTCTGCATAAGTACGATAAGAAACAACTGAACATTAGAAAACTTCGACTGTAACGACTTTCAAAAGAAGTTCAGAAGATGAAAAATATCTAACTGAACGAACCAATGTTGAGCTTTTTCAGAGATCACATCTCGTTGATTTTTGATGTTTAGTTGAGGAGAATATCTGATTGTAACTTGAATAACAATGGAAAATAATCTTAACGTACCCTGTATTATATCTGTATAAATCTCAGACTCGTCTAGTACAGTATGATAGAATTGTGATACTCTATCTTCAAAGGACTAGAGGAAGCACTTTTGTTCTAATCCAATGATCTCATTAGATTATTTAGAATTTAAGTCGTGAGATGATATCTGTCTTTTTAGTCTCTTCAACACAAGCGACTATTTTATCAACATCAACGTCAACTACTTCAACAACAACAACAACAACTAGCCGTAAGTGTATTTCAGATTATTTTATTAGTCATTTTTTGACAAAATCATTGTTTACATGTCAAAATTCAAAGTTATTAAAATAGATAGTTAGTTCAAATATATATTGAATCGATTATTTGAGAATGAAGATACATTAATCGATTAATCATAAAATATTTCATAATTGATTGGGTGTCCTTGCTATAACAATAGCAACTTGCGCCGGTACAATTCTTCGATTGTTATTCTTGCAAGTAATCATCTTGATAAATTCCCATCGAAAATCCTTAAATGTAATCAAATAAAGTGGAAATGATGTTATATGATATGTATAAAGAATTGAATCTAATACTTTTGCAAGACTAGTTAGAGGTGTAGTGGCAAAAAATGCAGCATCAATTGTTGCTGGAATAGTCATTATTAAAAAGAGAAATGTTGTAATAACTAAAGTAAT